GAAGGGGATCCCATCTGCAATTTCATTATTGAAGTCCATACTGTCATTGCATGAGTCTTACCTAGGCCTAGAGGAGAATATGGTGGACTCACATGCATGCCTGTATAGTTCCCTCCTCATTTTTCCACCCAGTCATACACACTATGCACATTCCACAATACCTCCACATCTCCATTGCAAAGTTTCAGACATACTTGTACCCATACTTGGCTGCATTCCTGGGAACCAGGATAAATTGAAGACTGGGAAGTTGACCTCATACAATTGCACCTTGCTTTTGTCTCTGGCATGGGGCCTTCCTGCCCATTCCACCTTTCTGCTATATCTTCAGCTGCAGCCAATTGTTCCTCTGTCAGGTCATCCTGAATAAAAGCCATCAATGCATTCTGATACTGTTGGATCTGCTTGCTTCCATGGGTATTGCCTTCTTCTACTTTCATTTTTGCAAGCTTCTCCTGTATTTGCTCTTGGTATAATTTGCAGACCACTGCCCACACACAGAGTACTTGTAACTGGATCTAAGGGTAATGTGGGACTTCTTTGAATGGAGGGGCTTTTTCAACCAACCTTGTATTAGCTACAAGGGTGCTTTGAATTGTGAGCATCTGAATCAGAACTTTTAGAGCATACCTTGCACTTGGTCTGGACTTTGCTCCCTCTCAACTCCTTGTTCCTGTCCAATCACTGCATCTCCTCCCATATGGATAGCAGAACTGCAGGCTTCTTCTTCTTCCCTGCTTGCCTCCATTCCTGGCATTGGCACCCAAGGATCTCCAACTCTTCCACTTCAAACATTTCTTCCTCCCTTTCCCCCACATCTGATGGTTCTATATCTTGCTCACCATCAGCATCATCTCTTTCCATCTGATCCCAGGTGTCTGATTTGTACTGGGACTCCATGGAGTATGATGTGGTATAATGTATAATGGTGTATAATAGATGGTTGGCTACCAAGTTTTTTTGTGCCCTTGTTTGGTCTCAATATATTTCAGTACTAGTGCAGTCATACCAAGGAATTCATTCAGACCTCTGTGAAGCGACCAAAATATCCAATTAGGCTGATATCTTTGACAGGAGCTCCATGAAGTGACCAAAATATCCAATCAGGCTGATCTCTTTGACAGGATCCTGCCCAAAGGTGGATTAGCTCCCAGTTTGCATCTGGGCTGTCAGTTGGCTTGCCCAATCATATCCATACTTATATTGATACTGAACATCTTGTTTCACCTTCATCAGCTAATATAGCATCCAAATTCACCATCATAATCCAGGCAAAGCACCCAGGTAATGTTGCAGCAGGAAGGGAATGTGCAGGCAGGGATTGAGCAGTAATAAGAAGGCAGTGCCATGCATTGTGCAAGGCCAGTGTAGTTGCATTTGTATTTATGCCCTGACATGTGTTAAGGTACCAACATCAATAGAGCTAAATGATAAAGTGACTTGCACTAGCAGTAGCATTTCTAACAACTGACCTCGTACTGTGAAATCAGCAACCTCCAGATGGCCAAGAGAAGCACTCAAAAGGGTATGAGAATGATTGGTCCTAACCCAGGCCATTGGGTGAAGCAGCTGGAAGTCAAGACTTGGAGAACTGGAGGTAGATATAGATCACAATTGGTAGAAGTCACAATCAAACAGCCAGATCCAACAACCCCTGTCCATTCTCCCCAATCTTCACCATCCAAGCATTCAAGGTCTCGCTCCCACAAGTACTTTGATGCATGGGCAGATTCAGCCTTCAACAGACATGAAAGCATGAGCCCACCAGTCTGTTACACCTCCATCAGGGGTCTTGCCTTTTTCGACTTCTTACAGTCACATGCATCACATGCCTCATCACATCCTTAATAATTGTTGCCATCTTAGGGGCTCATATGTTGGAAGGCTCCTTCAGATCACCCGCTGTCACAATATTAATATTTCCAATACCCATCCAGACAGCAGCTCCCCTTTGATCCAGTTTTCCACCACCCTCTCTGATGGACAACTTGTTTCTTTCTTGTTCTCGTGACTTGTCTCTGACTTGTTTATGTTGCTCATATGTTGTACTATAGCTCTGGTGTCTGGCTCCTTGCTGTGCATTGATTGCACAACTGGTATAGCCTTTGCTTCCTTGACTATCCCCATCATATGACACCATATGACTCATTTCTCCTTATCTATTTGACTGATTGTCCTGTTGATTACTGCAGATATGTGTCGCGACATGTCTGATCGCAACTGGTATGGTACTCGTACTTAGGGGTATATAAACCCACGTACTTTACCTTGTATCCTCAGTTTTTCAATAGCTTGCAACTCAGCTAACTTCCTTCTCTTTTGTCCTTGTTCTCTCTCCATGTGACTACCCTAGAGGATCACCAGAAGACAGAACCTTTGTCAGACCTCAGAGATAACTGAGCCATAGGGGTTACAATACATTTGGCCTGTAGACTCCCCCTTGCATGCATCATGCCTATTCCATTTGAAGAAGTCACCATGCTTGGGCATAACAAAATCAAAAAACTCCACACAGCTTTTGGGACTCATTGACCTCTTCACAAAAAGTCTACTCATCCCTGGTTACTGAACTTCAACAAACCATCTTTCAAATTCACAAGGCTCATTGGTCTCCCTCAGTGTAAAGACTAACTTGCTTTCATCTGCTCCTCAAGTATCAACAAGATCAAGAAGCATCCCTCTACTCTCAGTCAAATCCACCGCTCTACAGGCAGCCACTAGGCTTTAATAGATCACCTCCCTAGAGTCAGCACTCACATCTCCCTATGTGTAAAGCTGCTCACACACCTTCAAACACCCCACTATGCTGACAGGTTTCTTTCAAGAAATAAATCCTCCCTCAGCCTTTGTTTGCACTATCTGTAAAAGTGTCTAACCTGCAGAAATCAAGACCACCAGTCCCTCCTCGACCTAATCCCCTTGGACTCGGAAGGAACCCACCCTTACCACCGATTCCTTTAGGATGACTTGGTCCTTTGGTTACTGCAACCAATCCCTGGTTATCTTATCTATCCCAGTTCAGGGATTCAGAAGTTGTGCTTAGTTCAGAAGAAGAAGATGATCAGAAGTCTGAGACTTCATTAGGGTTGGCCCTTAAAGAAGAACAAGAAGCTCACAAATCACCAGAAATGTCCATGACAATCAGTCACAGAGATTTGGTTCCTGAAATGCCCCTGAGGACCATTTCAGAAGAGGAACTGAGACAGAGGCTGGAAGAACAAAGAGTCGCTACGGCGGAGGAGCTCTGCCAGGTTATGCACACAACTACGAGTGACCCATTCCCAGCAGGTATGCCTACAGACTCAGCCTTACACAATTGGTATTGTCAAAATTTTGGAAAGGTAATTCCCCCAGAGGTCCCCATCAGAGGGTCCAGTAAGGGTAAGGCCCCAGCTGATGATGATGACACATATGGAAGCTGCCCACCCAACAGAGGTTGGGAGTTTAATATCAGGCATCCTGGAGAATATGATGGAAGCCACAACAGCCTCCAGACCTGGATTATGCAGGTCAAAGGTTATTTGAACCTGAACAAGCATGTCTACAATTTGGAGTCACTCAAGATTTCATTTGCACTCACTTACATGACCAAAGGCACAGCAGTTTCATTTGCTGAAAACTATCAAAACGAAAACAAGTTGCTCGATGGTACTATCTACTACACCAATACCTTTCAAAGGTTCATCAAAAGGTTGAAGGCTACCTTCGAGTCAGGCGACCAAACTGCTCTTGCAATTCTACACCTTTCGGACATCCAGCAAGGCAAACACAAACTTGAAGCTTACATCACCAAATTTACTGGGCTTGTTAACAAGGCTCAACTCAAGGAAGAATCATGTGAAGAAGGGATCTTCTTTGGAAAAGGATTGCAGAAAGAATATCGCGATTGGGTTCTCAATTCTGGATGTGCCCCTTCCATGGTTATAGAGTGGATACAGTGCATGGGAGAAGCTCGAACTGCAATCACAACAAAGCATATCCTAGAAGGGAAGGAATCTCAGTACGAAAGAAAGTTCATTCATTACTGCAGAGGTTCCCAAGATCCTGATGTGATGGATGTTGACAAACACAAACAGAACATTAGATGTTCCAGTTCGGAAATTAAGTTAGTTTATTCCAGAAAATTGGCAGGTGGCGGTGCGTGGGACCTGCAAATTTTGGATCGGCCTCCCAGCCACAGCGGCTCGCCCTCGGCGGCGGGGACGGCCGTTCGGAGTGTCTGACGCCTCGTGACGGCACCGGCATCGTCGATCGTGGCGTGGGAGGTGCGCTAGGGTGCGCTAGGGAGCGCTCGGGACACGGAAGCAACACATGGTGGGGGACTTACGTGTCAGGCACGTTATCATCAGGGTCTGCGCACGGAGAGTGGGACGTCCCCGCGCGACGCTGATCGCTTAAGAGACTGGACAGCTGGACCTCCCGTCCATCATGTATGATAACTGTGTGATTCGGATTCGGAGGGGGTGCAGATGCAGGACCTCCATCGTTAAATTTATATCAATAATCAATCACTTCTGCGATCAGCAGCTAGTATTTGGCCTTCGGGCATTCTCATGAGTTCGGTGCGGGGGAAGCTTTGTGTGCTACTGTGCCGTGCTGACAGCTGTCATTACTCATTAATGGACTTGGCGATGTGTCTCGATAGTTTTTGGCTAAACTTGTTCTTGGCTAGTATACTGAGCTCAGAGCTGTCTAATACATTGTATAGTACAGTGTATTCGTGTTCGTCAAGTTGGTTCAAATCAGACTGCTGGCTCCACCGTGTTCGTCGTACAATACATATGTCACCTTCAGGTGCTGAAGCTGAAGAGACTTGAAGCGCTGAGTGCTGCATACTGAGTGTCCGTGTATTAGTCGTGCGTGCAACACCCCTTGCCCTGCTACCGTAATACCGTAATGGCTACGCGTCACAGCGCCTGGCACACAGGACCTCGACGGCGACCTCAAGGGTCTTTCCCAATCGGTGCGTTTGCATTTTCTACCGGCTCATCTGCCAATCTGGCCAGCCCAGTTGCGAATGTGCGTGCCAATTTCCCCTTGTAAAGTGACTTTACACCACTTTATAATTACTTCCAGTACTTTACTGCTCGAACCGGCTTGTCGCCTCGAGGCATCAACACCACACTGACATAAGCGGTAAGGGCAGGTTTGGGTTACCGCATCTCCCCGCTCTGTGTAGGCTGGCAGGAGCCTTCCCTTCCCTCCAAAGCCCATTCGAGTCATCCCCCGACATCTCCCACTCTTTGTTGCCGCATCAGTGGCCGTTTGTGGTGAGTACCTGCCAGCAAGCGTTTCAGCGTTTTACATCCAACAGTTCACAGCGCTATTGAGCTCAATTCCCTGGCCAAGCACGCTCACTCGCTGGAGCGCACCCCCAAGATCTGACTTGATCCATCCCTCGGTGAGCTCTTTCATCAGCCGCCAGCGCCTCCACTGACGGTTTCAAAACATAGATTGCCCGTATCGAGTACATCCATTCTCGCACCATGGTCCTGGCACTCTGGCCGGTGGCCAATCTCGTATTTGTCAGCTGGGCGTCGGCCTACGCCTACGTCAACTGGCTTTGTCTCGTTCTCCCCCTGTCGACAATCCTCCTAACTAGTCCTCGGAGTCCGCCACACATGAGGGTCTCTGAATTATGGCCTGTGAGTATTTCCTCTCTTCTGCCATTTTGTTAGCGTGTTATACTGACCATACATAGCTCCTTGCACCTGCAGCACGGCCTTACACGCTCGGCCAGCTGGCTGCTGAAACGTTTGACCCATCCAGCGATGACGGAGGTGTTCGATTGCTTACTGTAGGATTCAATGCTAGGTCAGCACTATCGTCCATGGTCTATTTTGTCCGTCGCAGATGATACATCACCCAGTGCATGGATGCATTCACTAATCAATGTGTTTTCATGGCGTCAAGCTGGTACAAGACAATCGCACGAAATGGATATTATCTTTTGTCGTCTTTCCGCTATCTCTCGCATGTTGCTTCACCCTTACTTCGTCTTTGATGGGCCAGACTGTCCCCAACTCAAGAGGGGAAAAGACGTCGTAGGTTCGACCTTCCCGCACCTCCTCGTGCAGTGCTTTCAAGAATTACTGATGGCATTCGGCTTCAACTGGCACATGGTAAGTTGCTCGCTATGTATGCTATGTCATATCTCAACAGGTGCTAACATGACTCATCAGGCCCCAGGAGAGGCAGACGCAGAGCTCGCAAATCTTCAATCCTATGGACTAATCGAGGCTGTGGTGACACCGTACAACGACGCGCTACTATTTGGCGCGACCTGCATTATACGCAGGTGAGTTGTTCATTCAAATATTGGTGCAACCAACCAACTCTAGAGATAGCGGCACCCCTTACTCTACCAGGTACGAAGACGTTCTAGTTTACTCCTCCAAAGACATAGAAAACGTCGTCGGTCTCGAATTGGGGGACCTCTATCTGATTTTGTTGATGAGCAGTGTGGACGCTGAGGTACGTGCCATCCCTAGCACCAAGGTGCCATCCAGTCTCATTTGATTCGTAGACAGGTAATCGGTGGTGCAGCGTGGACGTTGCCCGTTGGCTGGCAAAATACGGCTTTGGAAGGAGTCTCTTGCGAGCCGCCGCCGCACTCCAGTTTGCCGAGTTCATGAGCTTCGTTTCCAAGTGGCGTGACAGCGTCTGTGAGGTGCTAAGAACAGATCCTCGACAGTTCCTTGGACGTAGACACTACGAACTTGCCCGCATCATCGTGGAGGAGCACATTGAGTTCCCTGACCCCGCTGTCCTGGCAATGTATCTTTTACCTCTTACCTCGTGGTCGGACAACGGCTGCCCTCCTATTACCGTTGTGACGTCTCGCCAGCCTGATCTCACGTCCCTGGCGGAATTTTGTTCGCAGTACCTTGACTGGCCACCGGACGTCATTCAGTCCAGATTGGCGGACGCTCGTGCTGGTGCCGCTGTACATGCACTTCTACAGGTAAGTTCTGCGATTATAAACACGTCCACCCCGCATCATCATCCACCATACCCAGCTGCCAGGCAATGTCGACGGCGAGAGACTGCAACGTGATCTTCGAGTCACAGGCTACTTCGACGAGTCGCTGTCCTCACCCACATACAAGCTCTCTGTTCCAATCCAACTCCTTGCAACATCGGGCGAGAAGAGCGATGGTGATCCTTTCTATGACATGGAGATTGCGGCGGTTGTGTTGGAATACTCGAGGCCTGACTTAGTGCTGGGCTCTGTCTGTCCATCTTCCCCATCGCCTTGTGTGGAGTTTGCAGATGAGAATGCAGACGTTAAGGGATACATCGTGTCTCGAAGCTGGAATTGATGATCCCATGAATGAGGGCTAGTCAGGCTTACTACACACTTTTTGTAGCATCGTATCAGCTCGTGAGTGGCATGCTACGTGCACTTTTCAATCCATCCCTTACAACGCACGGGTAGAGACGGCTTCAACTTTGCTCGTGACTATAGTCTGGTTGTTATGGTTAACATGTGATATACGCAAGAGAGCTCGGAGGAAGACAACATCCTATGGATAACTGTTCAATTTTTCAGGCAGCAGAGTGTAAAAGGCAAGCGTAGACTGTGAGACCATTTGGCTTCCTCCATCGATATTAAGCCTCATGATATCTGTCCTGACTTAGCCAGTATCCTGTATTGTCGAAGATGAAGATGTTCGCGTTCGCGCCACCTGCCATTTGATTAACAGCTTTCGGCTCTCCGCGTTGGCCAAAACCGTGTCCGCATCGTCTTAGCTCCCAATGGAGCATGTATGCACCCTATCATCGAAGATGTCCGCGTTCGCATTTGCTTCGCGTTCATGTTTGCAACACAGTAAACAACTTTCGACTTTCCGCATCAGCCAAAACTATATCCACGTCATCTTAGCTGGGGTACTCCCCGATGGAACATGGTCCACCCTATCGTCGAAGACGACGTCACCCGCGTTTAGTAAGTAAATTCCAGCTCTCCTTGCTAGCCCAAAACCGTGTCCGCATCATCTTAGCCAGGGTACTCCTTGATGGAGCACCTACATACCTTATCGTCAATGATGAAGTTTCGTTCGCGTTTGCGTCACCCGCCATTTGATCAGCAATTTTCAGCTCTCTATGCCAACCAAAAATCGCGTTCACATCATCTTAGCCAGGGTATCCCTTGATGGAGCACGTACATACCCTATCGTCAAAGACGACGATGTTTGCGTTTGCGTCACCCGCCATTTGGTGAATAATTTTCAGCTTTCCACATCAGCCAAAACCATGTTTACATCGTCTTAGCTGGGGCACCTCTTAATGGAGCACGTACATTTTGCCAATATTAGAATTGTTTCAGTCCGCCCCAATGACACCCACGGTATTCACCTATGTCACTTTCCCTCTCACCGATGTCACTATGGTACAGTCCACAGTCGCCCTCCTTCGGTCCCACATCTCTGCGGTATTTACCAACTAGTCCACCCTTTTAGCCCCTTGTCTGCTAACTACGACGCAGCAAAGCAGCTGCATCACCGACAAATGTCACCCGCCCTTGATCGAATTCACCAACCAGCCTGTGGTATTTATTCATCCATGTCACCGCCTTCCTTCTCATTGACGTCTCGAACAGTACGTCCGCAATCGCCTTCCTCCATCCCACACCTCCGCAGTATTCACCAACTAGTCTATCCATTGAGCCCCACGTCCCCTAACTACAACAGCAGCAGAACGACTACATCACTGACATACTCCCCAACGTCACCCACAACCAGTCCGCGGTATTCACCTATGTCACCTTCCCTCTCACCGATGTCACTGCAGGTACAGTCTGCAACCGCTTTCCTTCAGTCCGATATCTACGCGATACTCACTAACTAGTCCGTCCTTTAGTCCTGCCTCTCCTAGATGTAAGTCACGTTTGTCCGTCAGCGAACCAGTCACTAACTTCGCAAGATCCACCCAGCACAACTTTTCATCCGCTTTGCCAACCATCCCTTTCTCGTGCTATCCTCACTGCAGCTTGTAAGTAATTTATCTCGCTTGCATAGTTACATTACTCACGGCTCTGCAACCCCTGCACAAATGTCACTCCTGTCTTCAAAATACTTGCCCACATCACCAGTGTCACCCCCTCCGCTCAACCAAATATTCTCCACAGCTCCTGCCTATTGCAAGTGTAGCCTCTGTCCCCCCCGCATACAACTCAACATCTCCACGATGGCCACCTTCTAGCCCTACCCATGTGATACAATGTATCATTGAAAACGAAGATATTCGCGGTTTGCGTCACCCGCCGTTTGGTAAACAAATGTTGGCTCTGGAATGGGTCATCAACACTGTCGACGGATGAGGTGCCATGGTTGACTTTAAGGGCGAAACCTAATTAAACTTGCATGTATTTTCACTAGTATCACAAATCCTCGTTCATTACACTCAGCGGTATGCATGTACCTCGATCAGATTTATTTATTGTACCCTTCTAGCGAGATTTGTGGCGAGTGGGTCATGGGGTGGCAAAACTGATTTCATGGACGACTACACCAATACTCAAGATAAGTCTGATAAAAAAAAGGGCGTTGATGTGCTACATTTTCTATCAGTAATCTAGCTAGCCATGACCTCCCTAGATCGCTTTGCTTTTCACGAGTTCTGTTATTGTCCATCGTCAGAGGTAATCTGTGAGGAACTCGCAATGCGATCGACTTACACTCAAGCTCCGCCACGGCATTGGCCAATATCTCCTCCTGCATCTTCTCATCCCTGAGATCGGATGTAATCCTTGCAATGATAGTTTTTGCAAGCTCAACCTGCTCGCTCTCCTTCAGCCGTTGCTCGTAGCGCACCCAGCTGTCTGGGACGGTCTTGAGCTCGGATGCCAGTGCAACCTTTTGATGCTGGATAAACGCTTCTGCCTCCAACCAGGCAGTTTCCTATATACATCATATCACATTAGATCTAAAATACTAAAAGACCACGCCCCGACCTTCGAAACGGGAAAGAGCCCCTGCGTCAGCGACATGATGTCCTTTATCTGTTTGACAGAGCGGATGCGGTCTTTTACAGCCTTGAGTATGCTCGGCACGTGAGTTTTCCAAAGCGGTCTTGACACGTTCGATAGCGACACGATGTCCCTCATCTGTTTAACAGAGTTGATGTGGTCTTTTACAGCCCAAGTATGTTTGGCACACGAGTTTTCCAAGGTGGTCTTGACATGCTCGATAGCAAGACGACGTCCCCTGTTTAACAGAGTTGATGCGGTCTTTTACAGCCCGAGTATGTTCAGCACGCGAGTTTTCCAAGGCGGTCTTGACACGTTCGATGTGGCCATTGACCTAGTCACAGTCAGGCCCACTGATAAGCTAGGCACATGATTATGAGTGTATGTAACAGCGTATTAACAGAACCACATACCTTAGCAATGTAAGCAGGGAGGACGAATGTCCCTGCTGCGACCACAGTTTCCTCATTCACAACATAGACTTCTTGAGAGATGGCTGTAGCAGGAACACCAGTACTGAGGATTGCAGTGCCAGCCTCGATGATGAGGTTTGGCGAGGACAGGAGGGGATTTACGATTTATGAAGCACGCTCAGAAGGAGGGGGATTTGATGTGCTGTAGCAAGTAGGCCAGTACCGAGGATTGCAGTGCCAGTCTCGGTGATGAGGTTTGGCGAGGACGGGAGGGGATTTGATGCGCCGTAGCAGGAAGGCCAGTACCGAGGAGATTTTGGGAGGACGAGAAGGAATTTATGGTTTCTGAAGCACACTCAGAAGGAAGGGAATTTGATGTGCTCGTGACACCGCTGGAGGTGAGATCATCAGCTAACATGGCTTGGTTCGATAGTTGGACTGAGGAAACGTACGCATTGATCATGCGGGCGACGGTGGGCAGCTGTGTGTTAACGCGGCTTCAAGGCGAACTGTGAGTACACAAACCGTTAGCGGATGTAGATGAATCAACCAAATGCCTTGTGTATTCAGTGCAATCCTGGGCGCCAATGCGATACTTTGTGGACAAAACTAGAAATATCTAGCTATAGCTGCACCATATTTACACTAGTCCTCAGAATTCATTGCACTTCGTAGTACATGTATTGCAAATAACTACCTTAGACTTGTGACATCACAACTCCCACCTTGCCGCGTCCAATCAGTTTATGACCGGTAACTGAATATCCTGTCGCGATGGTCAGACAGAAGGCATCTGGGACCAAGCATGCCAGTGTCGTCCCCAGACAAGCCCAAAAAGAGGGCAAGGGTATCCACCGCGAAAGAACTACCTAGCTTGCATACCTGCCCACCGAATTAAAGAAGCTGGCAAAGAAACTCACCTTCGGGCAGCCAAGACGAGAGCGGCATACTCAGGACATGTCCACCGAGCGCGCTCGTGGCTGCAGAGCCATTTTCCAGAGGAGGGGACGCCACCGACTCCGAATCACACCGGAGAGGACTCTGAAATCTACAGTGATCCAAATTTTAAGAACGTGTTTGAGCGCATGCCAAATAGGTGCTCAGATAAAGCATTAGCCCTTTACCTTTCATGGAGAGGGTTCCAAGAAAATAGCAGCCAAAGCACCATTGACGGTGTTCGAGCGGGATTCAAGATGTTGTGGGACGAAGCAGTGCGTGGCATGATTGCTCAGTTTTCCTTGATGCTCATAGACTAATACCTTCGGCGTAGTGATGGTGCGACGTTCCGCGGGAAGTGGCATCACAATGATGCCCATCACCGATGGGAAGGCAACCCAGTCCTGTCGGCAGAAGTTGACGATGTCGTGGCATCTATCAGACACAAGGTTAGTTCCGAAGGAGCTGAACGGAAGCACTCGGGTGCCATGAAGAAGGAATACATGGATAAGATACTTGCCTGGTCAGAATCATTTTGTCCACTTGACACCCCACTCCAATACATTCGTCTCGTGACGATAGGCTACAAAGCGCTGCCATCGGGCGAGTCCTTGAATGGGAAAGTGAAGCTAACGGTCACACAGCACCTCGAACACCTTGCCTTTAGCGCTGTCGCATTTACGCTTTGGATGAGGTAAGTCCTGGCAGGCGGTTTGACCAACAACGTTTTCGATCGTGGCTTATGACAGGAACTACGAGCTCCTGAAACTAAAGCGCGGGGATGTCAAGCTTGACAAGACTGTCATAGATGGCATGTTCATGAAATACCTTCGAGGCGAGGAACTCTCCCTCACCGTTAGCGAGTGCAATGCTTACTTCGAGATCCACCTAAAAAACCGTAAGGGATGGCAGAGAAAGTTAGATAAGGGGATGAGGGAAGCTGACCTACAAAGTTTGTCTTTATATCCATCTGTGCATATCCCATTTTATCTGATCTCCTTTCGTTGGTACTTACCAGGCAATCGCTACAAGATTTATCCACGCCCGGATATGGGCAAGGCGTGTGACACCCTCCTGCACCTCGTGTCCTGGATGAAATGGGTCGAACTTGTCCATCTCGGCCGGCCGATGACTGAAGAGGATTTCCTTTTCCCCGCGATTGGCACAAATGGCGTGCTGCAACCGGGTGAGCCACTTTCCCATGACACAATCCAAAAATGGATCGACGAGGCAGTGGTGGGGTCTGGAATTCCCAGAACGTTCACAACGCATTGCTACCGTCGTGGTGGAGCGCAATACCGCTTCATGTTTGCGCCAGTGGGGCAGCGATGGACCCTTGCGCGGGTCTGGTGGTGGGGGGGATGGGCTGAAGGTGAGCATGTGAGTACTTCGTCCTCCTTCCTATCTGGGTGTGTAGTAAAGTCAACCGACTCCTTACCTTTCGCTCCACACGACTATGCAGCGCGACACACTGATGCACTACCTCCTCAACGAGTTGAATTGCTACGAAAACGACCACAGCGACGCGCTGCAACCGGTCCCGCGTGAAGGTGATCGTTCACTCGCAGGTGAAGCTGCGCTCGTCCGGCCAGCGTCCACCGAGGCACTCAACATGGCACATGCATCGATAACAGCCAACATGGCAGCGCTACACACGACTGTGAAGGAAGTGAAGGAAACCTCGTGCTCACTTTCAGTAGATGTAAGGGAGATCTGCCAACAGCTCAGCGACATGAGCAACCTGGTCATAAAGGCCCTAACCTTGGCCTCTGCATATTCAGCCCCTTCTGGACCTGTGCTGCGCCAGGGCACTACCGGCAGTAACGCTCAAGCGATGCCAATAACAGGTGAGCCTCGTTGATTCTGTGACTTCTACCACACCAACTGACCAGCCGCATGAATCAGCCTACCAACATTCACCTGCGCAGACCACAACGTCGTCACCCCCAGTGATCCAGTCCACTTCCATGCCAACAGCGGGTGAGTCTCATTCATTCTATGACTTCTATCGCACCAACCGACCAGCCGCATGGGTCAGCCCACCGGCATTCACTTGCGCAGACCATGGCTTTGTTGCCCCCAGCGATCCAGTCCACTTCCATGCCAGCAGCCCAGCCATACCTACCTACGCTCAATTTACAACCGACTCAAACGCAGTTCAGGATGCCACGAGTTGTCCAACTGTCAGATCTTTCGCCCTCAACGTCCCTCCCTTCGCAGATCGGACCCCAGAGGACCAAGGCCCGTGCCTCTACCTCCCTTCTGGGAGTTGTCATCCTGGACGTGCCCGTTTTGCGTCCCGATGGGACATGGACCGCAAAGTCAGACTCTTGGAGGGACATAGTACACCACTGGACGGAGGGGGAGCCACGGCTTGACCTGCACATTCCGCTCAAGGACTGGCCTTATCACTACTACAATGGGAAGAGCGGCCGTCAATTCAATACGAAGTACTCTCAGTGACGCGTCATTGCGATGGAATTCCTTGACGAGTAAGTCAGCTTGTCACACTTCTACCACTCGCCCAAGTCCCTCTGACACGGTCCCCAGATTCCAGGGAGACGAGGAAACCTTCCTCAAGGTCTATGGAAGTGCCGTCGGTCAAGGACACACGAAACTCCTCAAAGCGATCTTGGCCGCCCGCAAACAGTATTGTGGAGCTGGGGAGCGCCATCGTCACCTCACAAGTGAAGAAGTCTGCGACGATTCTTCTTCGGGCATCAGCAAGCAGCACTGATGCATATCACACCAAGGTCATCGTTCCACCATTGCCATCCTGTTCTTTTTTTCTTCTTTTGTTTTCTTTCTCTTAATACATCTATCACTCACTTGTTGATACTATCACCCCAGCATCACCCGAGCTCGTGATGTACTACATCACTAGTCGCATACTCATACATGTGCAGTAGCCTACGACTTGTCATACGTACGCAACGCACAACACAAACATCGTTAATCGCAAGCATCATTCGTCCACCCATCATATCCTGAGCGTGCGCGTGCGCACGCAATACCATTATGTGTTTGTTCTACCTAACTCACACGTCCGTTCGAGAGTAGTCCTACACCACCGTACATAACTGCTTTCGATCCCGCGGAAGCTTCGGGAGTCCTCGATCGCGAGATGTGATCACTGTGACACTGACATAAGCTGAACCTAAACGAGGGGCAGGGCGCCCAAACAACGGCACGCAACGGCATGCCGAGCCTACCGGCAGTGGCGCCGAGGTGGCTGAGGCCCGTGACGTCACGGATTCCCGGCCTCTGCGGTCACGTGCGTGCGCCCGCCGCAAATTGGCAGGTGCCCTTCACCGCCACTGCCAATTTCTCGAACTAAGTGCTTCAATTGTGGAGCCGAAGGTCACTACAAACATGACTGTAAAATCAAGGTCAAGACTCAACTGTCCGATGTCCACATCGTCCTCTTGGAGGATGGCACAAAGACTGCTTACATCGGAGATTGTGAGGCAAATGTGGAGGAACAGAAGTCATTGGGTTTTTAAAGGGGACTGATGAATCTCCTGCATCAGTCAGTCCTGTTGCCATTTTGTCCACTAAATGTACTTCTATAGATGATGAATCAAATATGTGAATTCGTTCACCTCTTGGACTTGTCGTGTTACTGGACTTCAAGGCAGGAATTTGGGCCTGTATCGACTCAGGCACAGAAGTCTCCCTCCTCTCGGAATGAATGGTCCAGAAACTTGGAATACCAACTTATTGAGTCAAGAGCAAGTTCAAGACCACCTCATTTACCAGAAAGGATGTGGAATGGGTTACTTGTAAAGTTACCCTGAAAATGGAGATCAAGGAGTGCATTGTTCGAGTCAAGTGTTATGTGGGCCCTCTTGTTGGAAAAGAACATGTCCTTCTTGGGATGCCATTCCTCAAGGAGTTCAAACCAAGGATGAACTGGGAAACTGGCAAGATAACATGCTGGGATGATGGGTACATGTATCCTGAAGGATCTGACTATTTCGTCAAACAGGTAGTGTCTTTGGACATGGACAGTATGAAGGAATCTTCCAGTCTGTCCCCAGAAGTGGTAAAACAGGGCTCGGGTGAAACCCCCAAGGTAAAAATTAATAAAACCACTTTGTCCACAGAACTTGAAGCTGCCTTGGCAGCTGGCAAAGAGGAAGTCAAGCTTCTGGAAATATATCAAGAGTTTGCCAAGGTGTTCACAGAGGACAACATCCTGCTCCCAGCACATCGGCCAGGATTAGATCATGAGATCAGACTCCATGAAGACTTCAAACCGAAGAAAGCAACAGTATACCCCACGTCTCCTGACGAACTTAAAGTTTTAGATGAGTTCTTGGACGAGAACCTTAAATGCAAAAAGATTTGACTGTCAACTTCGCCCCAGGTGGCACTGGTATTCTTCATGGCTAAAAAGGATGGAAAGAAGTGGTTAATACAAGATTACTGCTACCTCAACTCATTTACCATCCCCAACACACACCTGCTGCTGAACATGCAGGCTCTGTTCAACGAGTTAGTTGAGTCCAAGTATTACACCAAGTTTGACATCCAATGGGGTTTTACTAATCTCAGGGTCAAAGAAGGAGACGAATGGAAAGGGGCCTTCATCACACTGAGAGGGTTGTTTGAACCCATGGTAATGTTCTTTGGCCAGTGCAATTCACCTCCTTCTTTCCAGCAATACATGGACAAAACCTTCAGATCTCAAAGGGGAAAACAGGTAGGTTACATGGATGACATGGCAATTCATGCCAAAACAAAGGAAGAACTTCAGACCTGTGTCTGCGAGTTCTTGAAGATCTGCAAAAAGGAAGGACTTCGCCTCAAGATCAGCAAATGTGTCTTCAAGGCTGAGGAAATTGAATTCCTGGGAATGATCATAGGAAAAGGGCATATGGAGACTTCACCAATGAAGACTGACACCATTAGTACCTGGGAAGCCCCTGACAATCTCACAGGCCTTTGCAGATTCCTTGGATTTTGCAATTTCTACCACAAATTTATCCCTTCCTTTTCAAGCATTGCCAGACCCCTTCACAACCTCACTAAAAAGGGGGTCTCCTACCAGTGGACACTGGAATGCAATGCTGCATTCAAAAAGTTAAAGTCTTTGTTATGCTCCTCTCCAGTCCTCACTATTCCCAACTTCTCGAAGCCCTTCACTCTCTTCACGGATGCTTCAAAGCTTGGAACCAGTGCAGTACTCACCCAAAAAGGAACTGACAATGAGTGGCATCCGTGTTCATACCTCTCTCAATCCCTGGTAGGTGTGGAACAATGCTATCAGGTCTATGACCTCGAAATGTTGGCCATCATCCATGCTCTCAAGGCTTTCTGGCCTTACCTCCTCTCCCCCGTCGAACCCACTGTGGTCTTTACTGACCACAAGAACCTGGAATACTACTGCAAGCCTCAGCAGCTCACTCCCCAGCAAGCCCGATGGGCTGCCACTATTCAGTCCTACCCTATCCGGTTCTCCTGGCAGGCTGGTCACCTACAGGTCCCAGCCAACACTCTTTCTCATAAAGGCACCCTGGAGGAGCCCACCCTGGTGGCCACAGTCCTTCCCCCAGACCTTTGGCTTTCAGAGGGGGTGGGTCCCCAAATTTGCCTCGTCTCACCTTCATTTTCAGTTACAAAAATACAAAAACAACTAAAAATCAACCACCTATGCTGAATTGGACATCTACCTGCCTGGATACAGTGTTCCAAGTCCAACTCCAAGCCATATTCTTGCCCCGTTGAGGACAGGTCAAAGGAGAATTGGCTGCCTGATGCTCACCCTTTGAGGAAACCTGTAAAAGGAGCATGTGGAGTTTATGCCATATCCACAGACCTGTATGAACGTGTCAAGAACGACATGCCAAAGGATTCAAAAGGTCCAGAACCCAAGGATAATGTCACAGTTGCTGAGGACAGAACAAAAAGGTTCGGAACAACTCGGTTGTACATTCCCCTGGAAAACCACTGTCATTGCATGCAGTCATATCATGATCACAAGTCCACTGGACATCCTGGACAAAAGGCGATGTTCGCAAAGATGTGGAAGGAAGTATGGTGGGAAGGTATGGGAAGAGATATCAAGGCTTATGTGGCAGGTTGCCTGGCATGCCAAACCACCAAAGTGGTGACTCATCTGCTGACACCACCCATAGTCCCTCACAACACTCCCAAAACCGCATTCCCATTCCAACAAATCTATGGATCTTATCATGGATCTCCCAGTCTCGGGAGAACAGAAATATGACTCAATTCTCATGGTTGTCGATCAGGGCCTTATGAAGGCCACCCTGTTTGTTCTGTGCCACAAAACTATTGACTCTGTCAGGATTGCCTGACTTTTCCATCAGTTCATCTATTCCCAGTATGGAATCCTGGAGTCAGTAATCTCTGATTGCAGACCACAGTTCATGTCATTGTTTACAAGAGAACTTTACAAGGCAACAGGGGTAACCCCCAAACTTTCGACTGGTTATCACCCACAAACCAATGGTGAAAGCAAACATGTCAATCAAGAAGTGGAAGGATGCCTCTGGCTGTACTGTGCAGAGGCACCAAACTCCTGGGCAGCCAAGCTCCCATCTGCTGAATTCACTCACAATTCATGGGTCCACTCCATTCACCAGATGACCCCATTTTCGCTTCTCCTAGGTTATGACCTGTCCCCCTATCCAGAAGTTTGGCTGACTGCAGTCTCCTCAGTTGACGAAAGATTAGAAAGGCTGGCCTCAAACCATGATGTCGCCATCCTCATGCACAAGAAAGCACAGGACCTGATGCATTTGTGCTCCAAAGGGTCTTACATGCCACCCAAGGTTGGAGATCAAGTCCTCCTGGACACCAGGCATCTCTGAATCAAAAACCAGTGTGACAAGATTGTGCCCTGACATCTCAGACCATTCAGAGTGACTCAGATCATTTCCCTGGTCACTTTCCGATTGGACCTTCCCACAACTTGGAAGGTTCATCCTGTGTTCCATGCCTCTCATATCTTCCCATTCACTGAAAACGACACCTATGGGGTTGCACCTGCAGCCCCCCTTCCAGAACTGGTAGATGATGAAATTGAATGGGAGGTCAAGTCAATAATTAATCACAAGATTGATGGGTGAAGAGGTAAACAAAGATATCTGGTCAAATGGAAAGGATTCCCACATTCATCGAATACCTGGGAACCCAAAGAACATATAAAGGACCATGCTTTAGAAGCCCTCTCCCAGTACAAGCTCACCTGCCATCTTCGAAATTAATGGACTCCCCTTGCTCTGTCAACACAGAAAATGACTATGCCAACCTCCACCTTGCAGAATCCATTTACAACCCCGACAGTGTCTTCATACCCCCCATCACTGTCTGTGCCCCAGCCTCACCCCCAACATCCACCTCCTGCATTCCTGACTCGTACCTCTTGTTCCCTGTCTCACAACCTTGTCCAACATCGCCCCCTCTTGCCCGATCTCTCAGACCACATCCACACATGGGTTTCATGATCAAGAGGGTCCCCATCCCCAAGGCCAGAATCTCCCTCGGTGGAGACAGTAACCAGCAGGGAAAGGGAAGGGGTAAAGCAAGGACTGATGATGACTCCGGTGGTGGAACAGCCAGGACCACAGCCCCCAATTCTCCCAAATCTCCCCACCTTTGCACCGCCTTCTCAACCTACTCCAATGGTGCCCAATGCACTGCCCTTGATTTGCTCGCCTCCACTGCCCTTGCCAGGGATGACAAGCAGCAACTACCAATTGCAGCAAGTGATTACTTGGACATTGTTAGGGTGCTTGACATCTTCCATGACAGGGACAACATTGATGGGTGCTCACCAGAACAGGTTAAATATTTTGGGTTGCTGTCTGAAATCTACAGAGTGACAGACATGATCAACTCTGCTGTGTCAAAGATACACACCTGGAAGCTGTCTGGTACCACCCCCCTGTCTGAAGTCATCATGATCAACATGCTCGAGCGAAGCTCTTTGGGGCTTTTAGAAGCCATCACCACCTTCTCCATCAACAGATCAGCAAGTTCCTCACCCTGCCTGCTTCTTGCCTTCTTGATTGTATTTGCCTGAAACAAGAGGAACCATCAGTTTCCCATGAAG